CCCATGCAGTGTCCTTTGACTTCTGGAGATGAGTTTTCCTGTGAAGATAAAAGCAAAACACTTCCCTTTCCTTTGGGAAGTTTATATTTAGTTTATAAGATATACCTTAGTAGAATACCTGCCATTTGTCCTCTTCAAGAGGTTTTTCCTTTTTAACTCAAATCTTGGTCAACTTTGATGGTATCCAAAGTTTTTCTTCTCCTGTGGAAACCAATGCAAAACCCCTACATACGTCCTGGTTTCCATACAGAGGTTAGTACATCTTTGAAGTATACAGGCTGATTGCGTTCAGCAGTTTTCTCCGTTGTCCAGTGTCTTTCTGCAGCTGTTTGTTCTTTCTCATTGGAATTAAGAAAGTTTAGTGCTAATAAAGCATTATGCAACCTATGTTTGGGGTGTTTTGACTTCCAAGCTTGTTTATTGAGCATCTCCTTTAGTGTTCTATTAGATCTCTCAACCACTGCTTGTCCTGTAGGATTGTGTGGTACACCAGTGACATGTTTTATGTTATAATATTTGAAAAACTGTTCTAATTTTGTGGAGACATATGCTGGAGCTTTGTCAGTTTTTATTTGTGCAGATATACCCATAACTTCCATCACCTCTAGCAGGTGTGTAATAACAGAATCAGCTTTTTCAGAATTAGCAGTGGCCCATTGAAACCTTGAGAATGTGTCTATAGTATGGTGTACATATTTTAAATTTCCAAATTCTGCAAAGTGAAACACATCCATTTGCCAAATTTCATTTCTATAACTACCTTTGGGATTACTGCCTGCTGGTAATGGAGCTTGATTATAGAATGAACAAAGGACAGTTTCTCTCACTATCTCCTTGGCTTGTTGCCAAGTGATGGAGAAGTCCTTTTTCAAACCTTTGCTATTTACATGATGCTTCTTATGAAATTCTGAGGCTTCTAGCACACTTCCAATTAATAAACGATCAATCTCATCATTGCCTTGTATAGTGGGCTAGTGATCTGATATGTGTAATGTACAGAGGATTGCTTCTGTTTCTGATTGTTTCCTGTAATAGTAAAAACGAGTTTAATTCTGTATTATCAGGAACAAACTCTGCTGTCTCAATGTGTAAGACGACTCTCTCTGCATATTGGGAATCAGTAATTATATTAAGAGGTTCTGTAAAATCCATGAGTACAATGAGAATTGCATATAATTCTGCCTTCTGTACAGATGTATATGGACTTTGAAATACTTTACTTACCTCACCTGCTTTATAACCTGCCTTACCTGATTTGTTGGCACCATAAACCCATTCACTCCCTTTGATAAAATGGGAGCATCCAGGCTCAGCATGCAAATGGTTCCCTAGGATGGTGTGGAATTGAGAAAGTTGAATGTACTGTATGTTCCCCATGAAAGAAAACACATGATCAATGTCATGGTTAAATGCACCAGATAATTCTATTGGCCAGTATCTTTTGTTTCTCATGGGGATGAATAGTTCTATTTGTACCTGTGTGTATGCACATACCATATAGCACATGGCACACATAATACAACCATATACACAACACACACACACACACCAGACACTATGCAGCACACATCCATACAAACTGACACCACACACATACACACATGTCACACACATATACACACTCACACCACACACATTCACACACACACACACACACACATCACACATCACACATTACATAGCATACACAGTACAAACACTCACACTACACATATATACATCACATACACTTATATCACACACATATCACACACACTCTTACTAACATCACAAACTACATAGAACATACAGCAAGACCAAGTATCAGATCGCAGGGACACTCTTCCCAAAGATACGTAGAAGGTCTCAACAGAACAGGAAAGGCTGGTGAGACTGTTTGTGACCAGCACAGCTTGTGATAATGGCAGACAAAGGCATTACATGCCTCTGCCACAACCCAGTCAGTTGTTCCTCCTCTGTGGAATCCTGCAAAGATTCATGTGAACTGATTGGGCTGTGGGGAAGGAAAGGCATGATGAATAATTGAAGTAGTCCACAGGCTTTCTGGCATTCATTAAACATTGTTTATAGTTATTGTATGGTATTATCAGTAAAGTAATATGTTCCAATGACTTGGAGGTGAATGGACAGATCCGTCTGGTATATTTGTATTACCCTTCCAGGAGCATAGATAATTTGGTTCACTTTCCATACTAAGGCATTTAAATTATACCTTTATGCCTCTGGCACAAAGCTTGACATCCCTACTTTATTTAACAGTCATTCCAGCCACAAGTCACTTAAACAAAGCTGATGGTATGAAAATATTATTTCTTTGCAAATCAATTCTTGATTATCATGAAGTTCCAGCATGCCCTCACTACAGGCGTGACCTGTAGGCTTTGGAATGGGGTCAAGAGAACAAACTCAGGCTGACAAGGTGACTCCCAACCACTAGCTAGTAATAGTTTAGGTACCTGAAGGGAGGCAGGGCCACCTCTCAAATGACTCTGGGCCACTTGTTAATCTGATTAATCATGGAAATGCTTGTATTAGCAGCAGCTGCCAGAAAACTTACAGATTTGGTGGCTGCACACTCTGAATCCTGCTGGGAATTGCAGAAAAGGCAATTGGTAACAGTCAAAGGTACATCCATTACAAAGGCAGACCACTGAGGGGGTGGTAAACACCCCTACCTTAGTTCCTAAGTCAAGGGCTCAGAGATGGACTTCTTCTTTTGAGAGGTTAACCCTAGATAAGCTACTTGCCTCTCAGTGGCTTCTGAACCTGCCCTTAAAAAATCTGTTAGGGTGACTTAACATCTGCCTGGGATTTCAGAGGAACTTGTTGCAATGAACAGATGTCTATATATAGCCCGATGTGCCATAATAATTCTGAAAGTGTAACCAATTAATGATAATAACACGCTAGTAAATCAACAACTATAGGTATTTTCCAAGCAAAGCCCACTCCACCCCTGTTTGTGACATCAAATGTTGCACATGATAGGTAGAATACTACTGATTTGCTATCTTTCCATCCTCATTTAATTTTAAAATGTATTTATTTGTGTGATTTTGTGAATTATGTGCATCACATGTGTGTAGGAGCCCCAGAAGTCAGTGGAGGGCGCCAGAGCCCCCGGGACTGCAGTTTCAGGTTATTATAAGCTGCCATGTAGATACTGGGAACTGAACATCCTCGGCAAGAGCTGTAAGTGCTCTTAACTGCTGAATTATCTCTCGCCCCTCCTCCCCCAGTATACATTTCAGGCTAGCATAGTGAATATAATTCTTTGAATTCAAATGACAAGTTAACATGCTTCTCTGTGTGGTGGTGGCACGTGCATGGTTGTGGTGCATGTTGTAGTAGTGACAGTGGTGGTGTGTAGGAGGGGTAGTGGTAGTGCTGGAAGTAGTGATGGTGTTGTGTAGGAGGGGTGCTGGTGATGGTTGTGTAGGGTGGTGGTGCTGGTGGTGTGCATAGAAAGAGTATTGTCTTTGTTGGTATATGTTCATGGGTAGTGATGGTGTGTGTAGAAGTGCTAGTGTATGTAGGAGTGGTGGTGGTGATATGTGTTGGGGTGGTGCTGATGATGTGTGTAGTGTGGTACTGATGGTGTGTGTATATGTGATGGTGGTGGTGGTGTGTGTAAGGGTGACAGCATGTGTAGGGGCAGAAGTGTGTGCAGAGACAGTGGTGGTGTTTATGATGTGTATATGGGCTAGTGGTGTGTGTGTGTGTGTGTGTAGGGGTGGTGGTGGTGTGTGTAGGGGTGGTGTGTGTGTGTGTGTGTGTGTGTGTGTGTGTGTAGAGGTGGTAGTGGTGTGTAAGGGCAGTGATGGTGTGTATAGGGGTGATGGTGTGTACAGAGGTGGTGGTGTATGTAGGGATGGTGCTGGTGAAAGAGAACCATTTTACAAAATCCCTGCTTACTGTCACTGAGCTATGTCCCTGGTGCTAATGTAGTAGGACTTGGAGACAGGTCTTACTGGCATTTCATAGCTAGTAGAATATTGCTGGGTACAAGAATTCAGGTAGAGCATGGAGACATTGTAACATCCCAGAAGGCATGAGATTAAACATAGTCACTATTATAATCCCAGTGATTCAGTGGAGAGAGTTGGCTCCAAGATCTACCTTTTACTTCTCACCTGTGTCCTAAGGCTCATCCTTTTTCTGACAATATCCTTCATTTAGATCCCAGGCATTCTACCTTGGCTCTTTTGCTTTCTCAGTGATCTCTACTTCCTGGTGTCACTGGCTGGCTTTTCCATGGTCTTCGTCTCTTACGACCACGACTTGGTATTTGAACCCATCTTTTCTGTCCACTACACTCTTCATGATCGCACCAATCTCATAGCAGTGACAGAAGCCTCAGCCTAATGATCCAAGGTGTGAATCCTCAAACATCTTCTGCCCCTAGTTCCCAGTACCTTGCTCAGTGAGCTGCTACTCCACATGTCCTCTGGGATGCCTGAGATGACACAATGGGATTACCTATTTCCAAAGGACAAACCAAGCTCTGCCTTGCTCTGCCTGCTCCTTCTGTAGGCTCTGGCTCTCCACTCACACAGATTACAACAGCCACCATGGTCTTCAGTCATCTCTGTCTCAAACTGTGCAGCTGAAACCCAGAGGGACTTTTATCAATTACCTTAAAACCATCAGCATAGGCCAGAAGCTGCTCACCATCATTGCTTCTGCCCCAGTTCTGTCATGTACAGTTCAATATTGGATCACTGTGAACACTTAAATGTTGAATTGGAGAGTGTTACTTTCCCTATTAATTTAATAGCTCCTTCAGTTTCTCGTTACTCAATGCTCCACATTCACCATGGCCTTCAAGGCCCTGATGTTTCCTCTAAATGCAAACCCTTCCACATCACTCATCACTGTCTGTCTACTCCATGATTCTGCTGTTTCAATGTAACCTCTTTTCTCATTAAGACAAGCCAGTCTGATTCACACAACAGATGAGCAGTCCCCTCTGCCTGAATATTTCCTGGCCTGTCTCTCTTTTCCCTTCTCTTTTTCATTAATCAGCTGGCATTTATTAGCAATGCCATTGCTCCCTCTCTGAATGTATTGTAACATAGGCACACCTGTCTTTATCTTATACATGTATTATTCTGCTTGTAAAATTGTCCTTCCACAACACTTACCACCTATTGATTTAACAGACAGTTTAAAGGTAAATAAGCATAGACACATACATAAATATACACACATATTCATTGCTGTACTGTTTATTATTTATCCTACTGTTAATTATCTGACTTTTTTCTATCAGCACATAAGCTAAGTGTGCACCTAGATGGCTTTTATATAATGTTATTGATATGCTGATATGAAGAAAATGGCTGCTGAATGAATAAATGAATTGAGCTTTATCAAGCTTCAATTACTTCCATCGAGGACACCACTCAAAACCATTCTCAGATATGGCTCATTTTGTATTTCAGCACCCAGGACACTGAGGCAGGACTATCACAAGTTTGAGACAAGCCTGGGACAGTCATCTCAGACTCCCAGAAAATTTCTGCCTCAAAATTAAATATTAAATAAACAAATAATTGGTCATTTCTCTATTTGTTTGAGACTAAGCAGGCATGCCCAAACTTTTAATATTGTAGCACCATTTCATCAATATAATTCATGGTGGAGAACTTCATATTCAAGTAAAAATAAACTTCATCAAGGGCTGGAGAGATGGCTCAGCAGTTAAGACTACTTTCTGCTCTTCTAAAGGACTCAAGTTCAGTTCCCAGTTCCCACACCAGATGAGTCACAACTATTTGTGTGACTCCATGCCCAAGGGGATAAAAGCCTCTGGCCTCCAAGGGTACTTGTACTCATATGCACATACCTCTATGGACACACACACCATTAGAAATACTAAAAATAAGCATGACAAGTGGTTTACATTCATCTCAGTCACATGTGGACACTCAGTGATCAAAACATGGTTGCAGTGCACAGAGGAGTGTGAGCAAGTATAAGATCACAGTATCTCATTATTACACCTTCCCAACTATAGCATTTTCAGTGCAGAGAAATACATATTCCTCGACTTTAAATGTGGACTGTACTTTATATAAAGTCACTTCCTCTTTTTAACAGTGAAAATTGAGGAAAGTATTGAAAACTACCAGACAATTCTCAAAGTCCAAAGATGCTTTTCTGATGAACAATGACTGTTTGGTGGTATTTCAGTGATTAGTCAAATGGATAAAAGTGTTATTTGCCTTTGTCAGGCAAGGTGCTCTAATTTTTCTAGATGTCTGCTAAGATGATGAGACCATAAAGCAGCTTCTTGGCCTCTTTTCTCTCTGCTGATGAATAACCACAGAGAAGACTCAGAAGCTGGAAGAGCTGGGGGGAAACTGAAGCCTTATTCCTTGACAAGCAGTCTCCCTTAATGGAATTCTGGTCACGTAGCCCAGAGCTCAGAGCAGCCTTGGTTTAATCAGCTTGCTGAACATTAGAGTTGGGAACAGCCATGTCGATGGAGGCTACACATACATAATTTATTTCCTCTAAATTAGGTCTCGGTTTGTTCCCCTCCTTTGGTGTTACTTTGAAAGCTGCCACAGTGGGAATACTGCCCTGTAACAGGTTTATATGGGTGTGTATTTCTGTTCATGCTCAAAGAATTCCAGCATATACCTCCGGTATGGAAGGCAGATTGCTATATTCCAGGTGGCTGACACAGAATGACATTGGTGTTAAACCAGGACCTTCCTCTTCTTCCTCTGGTAGGAAAGAATAGTCTGGGTTGAAGAATGGTCTGTCCTCCCTGGTAGACAAGGACAAGGCAGCAGCTCTAAGCACACATGTGGGAGGGGAGTAAGATCTGCTCCATTGAGTCCTACAGGGAGAGCTCTCTCTCTCTCTCTCTCTCTCTCTCTCTCTCTCTCTCTCGGCGCGCTGCCTGCCTCTCCTTCTCTCCTTCTCTCCCTCCCTCTCACACACACACACACACACACACACACACACACACACACACACACACACAGGCATTGCTCTGCAGCACATCAGTAGCACAGGACAAGTAAGACACACACACAAACATGAAAAACTCTAGGGAGTCTGAGCACATTCAGCCCAATGGCTTTTAGGAATACTGTGGCAAATATACAATTGTTATTTTTCTGCTTTCTGTCTCTAGCTGAAGAATGACATCCCAGAGTTGGGATGCAGAGGGATAAATCCATCAGGCATGGCTGAAACATTGAGTTTCTCCTGACATGCATTGCATCACCATCAGCAATGGTCTGCGATCTAACCCAAAGAAGAACCAGGAAATCATATCTCTATTACAGGCTAAGTGGCCGAGAGAAGATGAATTTATCTGAATTCTACCTATGACTCTCAGTATGGCTGAAAAATTAAAGTAACAGCTCAATAAAATCTGTTTCTTCAAGAGTCTTTAAGGAATTGCTTTGTTTTTGGCAGCTTTATCCACATAAACCATTATGTCCATCAGGAAGACTTGTCTTGCAGTATCCCTTGATCATCCCTGATAGGATTAAATGGGGACCGAGTTTTCGAAGGCAATGATGACATTTACAGCTCAGCATCATCAAAAGGCAATTCCTTGCTTATTTGGGATTCGAAGCCCAGCCATCCCTCCCTTGTGACTCATTCAGAATTCATTTGTGCCTTTGTGCTTTCTGTGTGCTCTGTGCTTTCATGAATCCTTAATTCCATCTGAACTCAGTGGTGCCAGAGTCACTTTTCATCAGCTTGCCCACTCAGCTGACATGTGCCAGCCTCATCTGTGCTAAGCATTGTACCCCTGCTCTGAGATTGAGCAGGTGTTGGGTCACTCCCGCAAAGACAAAGGAGGTCAGACACTTCATAGTGTGCCTTTAAGAGAAGACAGCAGACTCGTCTCCTCTGACTTGTGGAGCTGATGATGAAATTTTCTGGGGTTCACCCTCATAATCCCAGGCCTTGTTGATATAGATCCATGGACCCATCAGTGGTGATTATGCAAATGAATTATTGCCAGTATGGTATGCTAACCCTGTGTCTGTGCAGCAAAACAGAAGTAGTACAGTGAAGATAGGGCAGACAGATATACAGCCAACCTGGAATCATGGCTCCTTTCTAGGGGTGAAACTGCAAGCATGCTAAGCATTGGTAATAAGTCCAATACAGGGTGACACCTTAGCCTATGGAATCTGAGGCTAAGGTAGTCAGGTGACCATAAGGGTAAAAAATGAGGTGAGACTTAGATTAAGTTAAAATGCAACCTAAGGGCCACAAAATTAATACTCACCTAAATACTTCAACTAAGCCAGAGGATCAAATGTAAAGTACAGACAGATTTTTTTCGAAGCAGGGTGCAAAAAAGCTGAATGTAAGACAGTCACAAGGATGAGGATGCTGAATGGTGATTTTTTTAAAAAATTCATTTCCCTTAGAGGCATGTGTATGGCCCAACTTAGCTGCAGGGAATGGGAGCTTGACAATATGGAAGAATGTAGATAGTATTGAGCTATAAGCCCAAGTTTCCCAGGGCTATTTCAGTACCTGAAGCTAGAGATACATCAGATGTGGTCCTATTCATCACCTGCAAATGGAGATGGAACATAAATTAAAAACCTATGGCACTTTTAGGATACCTAGGAATTAATGGAGTCAGTCTAGCATGAGGGTGATAACAATGACTAGTATTTACTGAAAGCTCACTATGAGCTAGAGAGCAAAAGGTCAAAGCTGAACAACCACCTACAGCTTCACATGCTTACCTCTGAAATCCTAGGGCTTGTGCCTTGTCCACCACAGTCTGTAATAGGAGACACAAGAAGATTATAAACCAGCAGTGTAGAGAATTATCTGGAGACAAGAAGCTGTACTCCATGTCCTTCTCAGGAGTCTGCAGAGATGGACCATCAGGGGCTTCAGTGCAAGCATGTTGTGTCTTTGGGTACTGAGGAGAAGTGGGCCAGAGTGAGCTGTTTCTCTCTGAGTGAAAGGACATAAGGCTTATGCATGGATTTCTGGAACACTTACCCTCTTCAGTGTGTGGCAGTTTCCACTGGATCAAGACGTTAGATCCTGGGGAAACAGACCTCAAAATGCTCTATCAGTGAACAGAAAATTAAAAGAAAAAGCATCTAAGCAAGGTTTTGCATTGAGAAGAACATTTACAGGACCTTTGTCACATTTTTAAGTGAAAGACAGAGTGCAGTTTGTTCCACATGACTTCATGTGTGTAACTGAAACCAATGATTGGAGACCACAGAAGGCAGACTTGTGTGTATCCAAAGCTAACAAAAATGAGAAGTGGACCTTGTGTATGTGAGTTCTTGATGGTGAGCAGCGTTCGCATAGTTTTTACATTTTCGATTGAGAGTGTCAACTTGAAGATTTCCAGGCTCCTAAGAGTCATTTGAACTACATACTCATGTTGACAGACACTGGTACAGTGGGTGTGTTAGTCACTTTTCCTCCACAAGGAAAAAAAAGCTTAATAAAGGAAGGAGGGTTCATTTCATTACATGGCTTCTGAGGTTTCAGTCTATTGCTTGGTGACATCATTGTGTGAGGTCTGAGGTAAGGGAGGATGCTGTGGATAAGTGTGTGAGTGAGGGAAGCTGTTCCAATCAAGGCTGCCAGGAAGCAGTGAATGCAGAGAGGAAGACAACACTGAGGGGCTTCCTCCTCCTTCCAGGGCCTCAGAATATGGTACAGGCCCATTCATACTCCAGCATGGGTGCAGAGTTCTTTGCACACAGCATTCATGTCACACGGAGAAACTCTCTTAGGTGCCTTACTAACCTGCCATCTTTCAATCCACTCAACCTGGCCATCAGGATTAATCATCTCAGATGTCAGTCATAGGTATCAGGTATTTCTAATGTTTTTGGAGGCAGGATTTCATGAAGCTCAGGGTGACCTTGGAATTGCCATGTAGCTAAGGCTATCTTTATCCTCCTAAATCTTCTGCTTCTACCTGACAGATGTTAGTGTTACAAGTGAGTTGATCTATATACAACCAGGATCCTAATTTTCAGGTAGCCTGTATCACTAAACTTAATATTTGATTGCATTCATCTCTCCTTTCCAATGACCTTGCTCATGCAGTTAATGTATACTGGGCTTCAACTGCATGTCAGGAGCTGTGCTTAACTCTGTGGAAACACAAAGGAACAAAGGAACCACTTTTGTGGCACTTAGGGGAGACTAAAAAGAAAGTGAAGTAATTAACACATTTCACAAGTACATTTGTCTATGTAACCAGAGGCCAAGATGTTTCTATCTTTCTGTTTCATGCAGAATCTATGGAAACAGTCACTCAATAGTTCTCATTTGTTTGAGTTTTGGTGCCAAGGTCTGAACTTGACCTTAAACTTGCCAAGTGTGGCTCTTCCCCTGCACTACCTCACCACACCCCAGAAGCCCATTTCAAAGAGGCATTTAAAGCAAGGTTTGACTTAGAGATAAATTACAAATTATATTTTTTTCTACCATAAATCATACAATTTCAGTAGCTTTTTTCAGAATTTGGTTTATTTATTTATTTATTTGGTCTTTTATCATGAGAGAGTTTTTAAAGTTGATGGATTTCTTACTGCATCAATAGAAATAATTTCTACAAGAACAAACAGATGCTTCTCACGCTTTAGGGGTGTCACTCTCATGAGATAGAGAAAACTAAAAGATGCTAAAGCCAAGCGTGTTAAGAGGACTTACCACAGTATGGTGTTGGACAACAGTCAGCAAACCTGATATATTTATGGATAGAAGACACAATTAAATAGTTTTGTTCATGTGGATCACACAGTCTATCCAAGTTATTCAATTCTACCATTGTAGCATATGTGGTTATGAAAAACAAGGAAATAAAAGATATATTCTGTATGTAGACCACTATGTTAATTAGACCTTCTATCACCATGACAAAATACCCAACAAGACAACTTAAATGGGGGGAAGGGTTGATTTTGGCTCATAGTTTCCGAGGCTTCAATCTACATGCAGGGAAAGTGTGCCAGGGTAGAATAGTTCCCCCTGCTGAGAGGAAACAGTACCCAGGACTGCATATAACCTTCTCATGACCTTAGGGACCTAATTCTGTCCTCCAGCAAGGCACTACTTCCTAAGGTTTCCACAACCTCCCAGATAGCATCCCCTGCTGGGAATAGTATTCAACAACACATGGGGGGGGCACTGCATACTCAGACTCAACCCCTAACAGCTGTCATAAGACTGGTAGAAAGAAATATGTCCTTTGACTTGGAGTGGACAGAAGCCCACCACATCTATTTTCAAGAGTTTGAATCACATCCGTGATGAAGAGGAATGTGAGCTCTATTGTGTGACCAGGGAATTTATAAGCAATGGGTGAGATTTTATGTCAATACATTTTTGCCAAGTAAAACAATATCTTATTAATGTAAGTTCCAGAGTGGCCATGTATTTAATGAGCTTGCTGTTACTGCACATACCAAGAAAGTATCAGATGCCCGCTTCTTTGAATGTTCTAGGACCTCTTTATCCTATATTCTTTAAATGCCCTTTCAAATATAGATTCCGTGGTAAATAGAATTTTGTGCACAGAGCACAGCATAACCTTAGGCTAACTAAGAGGCACAAGTCACTAGGGGCTCAACAATTTCAAACATGGAATTTTCTCTCTGGAAAGTCAATTACTGGCTAGAAAGCAAATTTTGCTAAGTATCAGATATGCCTATTATATTAGTAAGGGAGGAAAAAGTCAACAGTTAATAATAGGTTAGATATCATTACAGCATTCAGAAACTTGATCTACAGAATTTCAGATTGTATCTTGGAAGTGGACTGTAATTTGGGAAAAAAAAATGTTTCCTAATGCACATTTTTTTTTTTTTTAGAAAAAGGTAGACTCCTTCCTTTTAGAATTCAATTGCACTTATTTTTTTTAGTTTCCTGAGAATTTGCTATAACATGTCTTTATGTTGTTAGTATGTTTGTAGTTATATTAAATTATAAATACTAAAAACAACAGCTCTCCCAGCTGGATGTGTAGATGCATAAAATTAATGATATTGATTTATTCAGAGCCTATTGCCCTCTGATACAAATGAGAAGCAGGCAGTGTCTGAAGGATGAACATGACAGGAAGCTAAATGGTTTAAAATTTGTGGCTGCTCTTAACAGGGTACCCATGTGTGCCAAACAGGCAGAGCCTCAGCCAGGCTCAGATTGGTTTCCAGCTCCCAGAGGAGGGTTGGGAGGGGTGACCAACTCCAATCAATATCCAGTTGTTAAAGTAACAACCGTATCGGTTCTGGATGGCCGACTGGGCGAAAACATGTTTGTTCTACTTAATGTGACAGTGTCCTGTCAAATTAACAGCCACGGTGGCAGGAGCAAGCTTGCTTTAATGGGTCTGAGGCAGTTCCACTGAGAATTTATCATCAACACACAACCGAGAGGAACCCTAAACCTCATTACCCGGGGTTATTTGCAGATGATAACTGAACCTATGCCTCCTACAGCAGAATTTGTTTGCTCTCTCAGCAATGGCAGAGTGGTACTCTTCATCAAAAGCTGGCCTTGGAACTCTGACACATGATAGGGTTTGGTATGGGTTCCCAGAACAAGGAAGTACAGCTCTCAAGGAATGATGCTCAGGCAGGTACCAAGATGGGTGTGCATTGGAATGAACCAAGCACCAGATGCAGAGGGCGATGCCAGGCAGGCCCCACACACGTTTGCGTTCTCCTTCCTCTTGTGCATGTTTAAAAAGACTATTCTCCCCAGGTGAACCAATGTTTCAAAGTTAGATCACAGGTTTTTCAGGTTTACCATATAATAGGTTGTGTCTGGCTCACACGAAAGCTTTAAAAAAACAAACAAACAAAAAAGACAAAACAATGTATTCTCATTTGGGAATAATGCAGTTTAACAAGTGATGACGTATGCTTGTCTTCCTCCCATCCCTTCTTTCTTCCCCATCCCCCTCTCCTCCTCCCTCCCTCCCTCCCTCCCTCCCTCCCTCTCTCCCTCCCTTCCTTCCTCCTCCCTCCCTCCCTCCCTCCCTCCCTCCCTCTGTCCCTCCATTCCTTCCTTCTTTTCACCACCTTCCTTTTCCCGACCAGCCCCTTCTTTTTTGTTGATGCAATGTTTTACCACTGGGAGCTCACTCTGCAGTCTTGTGATCACTCTGGCTCTGTATCCTGAGCACAGGACTCTAATCATGCTCCACCACGCTTGGCTTTGGATATATGGTGTCAGCAGAACATGTTAGACTTCCTCATGGTAATAGTCCATGAAAGGACAATGAAGAATGGCATTGAGAGTGTCTGAGGAAAAACACTAAGAATCTCTGTCTGGCAGTCAGAAGACCTGGCTACAAAGTGACTCTGTGATTCTGGAAAGACCTTCAGAGAACCTAATCCTCAGAGTTTTCCATCTGATAAAAGAAAAACTATGTGAAATGATCTGGGAAACATCTTAAATCCCATTTCCCTTCGTTAGGGTTTCTATGGTTGTGAAGAGACGCTCTGAACACAGCAACTCTTATAAAGAAAACATATAATTGGGGTGGCTCACTTATAGTCTCAGAGGTTTAGTCCATTAGCATCATGGTGGGGAGCATGGTGACATGCAGGCAGATGTGGTGCTGGTGCTGAGCATGTTACATCTTGCCAGCAACAGGAAATCTACTGACTGTGACACTGAGGGAAGCTTGCAAAAAGAGACCTCAAAGCCCACACCCACAGTGACACACTTCCTCCAGCAAGGCCGCACCTCATAATATTGTCACTCCCTTTGGGAGCCATTTTCTTTCAAACCCACACACCATGCCTCTGTGGTGGGAGGGTTGTCACAGCCTGATTCCATCACTGTTTATCCCTAGCTGGGGGTGCCTGCAACATGTGACCCTCTGTCTCAGAGAACTGGAATGTTTTGTGAGAAACGTATGATATTTGTGTG